AATTAATTAATTTTAATTAATTTTAATTAATGTTAAATTAATCATTTAATAAGTTAATCATCATAATTAATTAATTTAAATCCTTAATTTTCTGTTTTGTGTCAAAGTAAAATTATCTTTGTTTATTTCAAATTTTACCCAGAGCTTTTGTAATTAAGCAATTCAGTCCATGGGTTTCAACTCTTTTCAAATTAGTCCTTTATGTTTTGAATTTAATCAAGTTAGTCCCTTAACTTCTTGTTTATGTCATTGTGCGTGCTTGTTTGTCCATTTTAATCCAAAAGTTTAAAAGTTGTCACAATTTGGTCCATGTATTCTTCAAGCTTGCTTATTAAGACTCAAACATAAACATAATGAATAAGTTGAATCAAACCCCAATTTTAAAGTATGCAACCGTGTTTAAACGGAGGATTGTGAGGTGCGCGTATGCCCTTCCTCACTCCTAACCAAACCCCCGATCCCCGATCTCTACGCAGACCCGTACTAGGTGACTTGTTCCACCTTATAATTTGGACGCGTGGCGACTCCCTTTTTCTTGTATATTTCACACTTGATTTTTCAATTTATTTTGAAAAAAATCTTAAGTGGTCGTCAACAGATTTGGTGGCAACAAGCTATGCAAGATGAATTATAAGCTCTTGAGAACACTCGTACATGGGATTTAGTTGATCTCCCTGCTGAAAAATCTCTAGTAGGCTGTAAATGGGTGTACAAGATCAAAACGCGATCTGATGGTTCTGTGGAGCGTTATAAGGCACGCTTGGTTGCCAAGGGTTTTACACAGGAGTATGGAATCGACTAGGAAGAGGCATTTGCTCCAGTTGCTCGTCTTACATCTGTGCGCAATTTGCTTGCTATTGCTGCTATACGGAGATGAAAATTGTTTCAGATGGATGTGAAAAATGCTTTTCTTAATGGTGACTTAAAAGAAGAAGTTTATATGAAACCACCTCTTGGGCTCCACCATCCTCCAAACAAGGTATGTCGATTGCGCCGAGCATTATACGGGTTGAAGCAATCCCCTCGAGCTTGGTATGCAAAGTTTAGTGCTACTGTGAGTGAGTTTGGTTTTACTTCCAGTCCATATGATACAGCTTTGTTCATTCGTAAGACTGCTCGGGGTATAGTTCTTTCGTAAGACTGCTCGGGGTATAGTTCTTTTACTTCTTTATGTTGATGACATGATTATTACTGGAGATGATGTCGCAGGTGTTGAGGAGTTAAAACAATCTCTCAGTCAAAAATTTGAGATGAAAGATCTTGGTGTTCTGAGCTACTTTTTGGGGCTTGAAGTGACCTCTTCAGATGATGGCTACCTGCTTTCTCAAATAAAGTATGCCTC